AGGCCTAGGAGTACATTAGGTACCAGGTGAGTGAGTGCGGGAGTGTATGTGTGCTTGAGTGTGTGCCAACACTGATGAGTGTGTGTGTGCATGAGTGTGAGTGCATGAGTGAGGGTGCATGAGTGTGGGTGCATGAGTGTGAGTGCAGGGGTGTGTGTGCAGGGGTGTGTGTGTGCATGAGTGAGTGCATGAGTGTGAGGGTGCATGAGTGTGGGTGCATGAGTGTGAGTGCAGGGGTGTGTGTGCAGGGGTGTGTGTGTGCATGAGTGAGTGCATGAGTGTGAGTGCATGAGTGTGAGTGCATGGGTGTGTGTGTGCATGAGTGTGAGTGCATGAGTGTGAGTGCATGAGTGTGAGTGCATGGGTGTGTGTGTGCATGAGTGTATGTGTGCATGAGTGTGAGTGCATGAGCGTGTGCGTGCATGAGTGTGAATACATGAGTGTGTGAGTGCATGAGTGTGTGTGTGTGTGGAGTGTGCCTGCAGAGTTCTGGGCTCCGGGGCAGCTCCTTGCCTGGCCTGCGACATCAGGTCGCAGGAGCAGGGACAGGCCCATGTGGAATGATTCGGGCTTTTTCCTTGGGGGCTGAAGTCCAGGTGTGTGTGTGTCAGGGGCTGTCCCCGCCCAGGTGTGGTGACACTGGTGGTTCCAGAACACTGGGGTGAGGGCCCACTGTCCCCGGGACACGGGCGTGCAGCCGGCCTCTGCCCTTCAGGGGGCAGGACTGGAGTCTGGCAGGGCTACCGACCTGTCCCAGGCAGCGGCCTCCGCCTGCATCCTGAGCTTCGGGCTTGTCCTGAGGGAGTGACATCCCTCTGTCCCTCCAGAGGGGGGCGCTCTAGGCCCCTGCCCGCCTGTCTGGGCAGGAGCAGCCCTGCACCACATGTTTTTCTGGGCCCCTTGCTTGGTGCCTCCCCCAGAACATCAGCGCTGAGGCGGCCGTGGCCGGAGCCCCGCCAATGCTGTGGGTGAAGGCCCGTGGGCTCGGCCTCACAGACAGCCCCGCGGCTCGCACACCAAACTGCGTCAGGAGGGCCCTCAGGTGTCCCGGCGTCACTGCTGGGGATCCCACAGGAGACTCAGGCACCCTTTGGAAATGTGTCCTGCCCGGCCGGCCCGTGGCTCAGGGGTTGAGCGTTGGCCTATGAACCAGGAGGTCACAGTTCAATTCCAGGTCAGGGCCCAGGCCCGGGGTTGCGGGCTCCATCCCCAGCGAGGGGTGAGCAGGAGGCAGCCGATCCATGATTCTCAATCATCATTGCTATATAAAATGGAACGCTTCACGAATTTGCGTGTCATCCTTGCGCAGGGACCATGCTAATCTCTGTATCGTTCCAATTTTAGTATCTGTGCTGCACTAAAAAAATATTTTTTTTTTTTTAAAAAGAGAGAAAATGTGTCCGACTGCCCACGGCCGAGCCCCTGGTTGTGTGATGCCAGGTCACCAGTGACCTGTGGAGTCCCTCGGAGGTCATGGGGCAGGGGGCTGGCACGTCTGTGAGGGTGGCTGTGTGGTCACTCAGCTGCTGCTCTCGGGGGGCCTCCAGCTGGTCCCGCTGTGACCCTGTGGCCTCCCTTTCCACATAGACCTTAACCTCTGACGACTGCCCACGGCCGAGCCCCTGGTTGTGTGATGCCAGGTCACCAGTGACCTGTGGAGTCCCTCGGAGGTCATGGGGCAGGGGGCTGGCACGTCTGTGAGGGTGGCTGTGTGGTCACTCAGCTGCTGCTCTCGGGGGGCCTCCAGCTGGTCCCGCTGTGACCCTGTGGCCTCCCTTTCCACATAGACCTTAACCTCTGACCTGTGCTCCAGCAGCAGCATAAACCCCTGAGTCCCAGCGCCCAGCACCTGCCCTGTGTCTCATGTCCAGCCACCCACCTGCTGGGGTGGTCCCGCTGTCGCCGGGCCTCAGGCCGGGAGGCAGGTCTGAACTCGCCTGGGCCTGGCTCGGGCCCTCAGGATGTCAGTAGGCGATGGTTGCCTGGGTCTCCGCTGAAAACATGGGCCAGCAGCCATGGGGGTGTGGCCTGGGCAGGAGCCAGCTGGTGGTCTTGGCACAGCCCTGCATTCTGGGGCCGCCTTGAGGGGGGGAATTTTGGGTGAGGGGGGTCCAGAGCTGAACTTCCCATCTCCCCGGGGCACGGAGCCACCAGCTGCCAGAGGGGAGGGGAACCTGGCAAGCAGTGCCCTGTCGGGCGTGGGCACCGGGCTCCATCCCTGGGGTGGACAGAGGGCTGCATCCGGGGCCCAGAAC